AGGTTCTCGGGAAGTCCCAAGAGGCCCCCAATCGGATCCAAGAGGCCCCCAAGAAGCTCCCAAGAGGGCCGACGAGGTTCCAAGAGATCTCCCAAGGTGGCCCCAAGAGGCACAACACATTGTTTTACGATTGGGCTTTGACGTTTTTTTTGTTTTTTGTTTTTTTTTCGGCCTTTTGGCATCCCGATGCTCCAAGACGGCCCAAGAGGCTTCCAATACCGCTCCCATATAGAGGAAGAGGCCTCCAAGAGGGCCCCAAGACGGCCCGCGAGGGCCCCAAGACGGTGCTTGAGGCGCCCAAGACGGCCCGAGAGGGCCCCAAGAGCCCCAAGAGAGGCCCAAGAAGGGGAACGCGACCCAACAGCAGAGCGGTCCCCCCACAAGGCCCACAGGAGGCCGCAAGAGGCCCCCAAGTGGTCCGACGAGGACCCCAAAAGCTTCCCCGAGGGCCTAAAAGGCCACCAGGAGACGTCCAAGAGGCTTTCAAATAGCCCAAGAGTGCCCTCGATGCGTCAAAACTGCTTCCAGGAGGCCCCTGGGAGGCTTCCGGATTGCCTCAATCTGGCCGCAGGTGGCCTCAAGTCGGGCCTCCACGCAGCCAAGACGGCCAATGACGGCTTCAGATTGCAGAACCGATGCCCCCAAGGGACCCTCAGACGCCCCCCCAAGAGGCACCCAAGAGGTGCCTCCAACAGCCAGTTGACGAAGCGTGCGGAATACCCCAGAAGATCCTCAGATGCCGTCGCGCGCCTGTGCTTGATAGCGTTGTCCAAGATCGTCCAGCGCCCCCCGGCCTGGGCTAGAACCTGAGCGCGCGCGAAGCGCGCGCGATGGTTCTAACCCAGGGGCCCGAAAACAGCTGCCCGACCCTCCATGCGAGTACCGGGGCTCATTTTCGCTGTGTTTTCACGGGGTTTCGGCGTCCCGGGCCTCGGAGGCCGCCGCGATGGTCCCGGACATTTTCCAGATCCTCGGCGCGGGCTCCAAGACCATTCCGCAGAGGGCTCCAACAGGCTCCAGGGCAGCCCAAGAGGGCTCCAAGACGGCTCCAGGAACGACTGCAGGGTCTCATTTTTTTTTTTTTTTGTTTTCTGCAAGACGGCTCCAGGAAGACTGCATGTCTTCTGAGGATGGCTTCCGCCTCTTGCCCCGAGCATCCCAAACTGCCTGAACGGTTCCCACTCGCCTTACTCAAACCCAGGGCTTGCCCAAGCGCGTTCCGGACGGTCTTCGCCGGAACGCGCTGGAATGATCACGCGCTGCGGTTTCCCATGCCAACGTCCTCGGACGTGGGCGCCCTGCCACGAGCGCGTTCCGGGAAGATGCTCCTGGAACGCGCTGAAAAGATATGGCCACATCTCGGGGACGCTCCCGGCACTGCTGCCCCAGCCTTTCTGGGCAGCCTCCACAGCGCTCCAGGAGGGCCCAAGACGCCCCCTAGGAGCCCCCAGAATGCGAAAGGATGGCCCAAGACGCTCCCGAGCAGCCCAAGTCAGCCTTCCGACGGCTCTCGAGGCTCCCAGGTGGCCTCCAAGAGACCCCAAGAAGTCTGATAGGTATCGCGGTACGGCCCGGAGAGGCCAAAATCGTATATGTTCAATGTTCTTTTCAATGTTTTTGGCTTCTCGCGTTTTCGAGCTCCCATCGGTCCAAGAGCGCCGAAAAGCCTCCATGGGGGTACTGGGGCTCATTTTCCCTGTGTTTTTAAAAGGGTTTCCGCGTCCTGGGCCTCGGAGGGCGCCGCCTCCGACCCCCCATGGGAGGAGGGGCGGCCGGGGAGGTCCAAAATAGTCCAGGAGGGCCTCCAGAGGCTCCCAAGACGGCCCAAGCGGGCCCCGAGTCGCCGAAAGACCGCTCCAGGACGCCCAAGATAGGCCCAAGACGGCCCGAGAGGCCCCCCAAGGCACTCCACGACGCTTCAAGACGCCTCTCCAGAGCGCTTCCAGAGGCCGAAATCGTCAAGTTTACGAAGGTTTTCGACCGATTTTGGCCTTCCAGCCTTTTCGGCTGTCCGACGTTCCACGACGGCTCAATAGGCCCCCAAGAGCGCCCCAAGACGGCCCAAGAGGGCCCCAAGACGGCCCCAGAGTCGCCCAAGACAGCCCAACAGAGCCCCAAGACGGCCCCAAGATGCGCCCAAGAGGGGGACCACGACTCCAAAATTCGACCCTCCCGCTTGAAGAGTGCCCCAGGAGGCCCCAAGGAGCCCCCAAGAGGCCCCAGGAGGCCCCCAAGAGGCACCCAGGAGGCCCAAACGAGGCCTAAAGAGGCCACAAAGCAGCCCGAGGAGGCCCCACAACGGTCCCAAAACGGCTACCGAGAAGCTGCGAAACTGCCTTCACGACGTCCCCGACAGGCCAACCACGAGATCCAAAGCAACACCCATGAGGCCTCTGACCCACCACCCAGGGCACGGTGGCGGGAGCAGTGACAGCACTTGTGCACAGCATGTTCCGGCGGGAGCCTTCCGGAACACGCTGCAGGAGGAGGAAAGATCAGGAGGAGAGAGAGAGCTGGAGTGGGAGGAGGAGGAGGAGGGACGAGGAGGAGGAAGAGGCCTCCCAGACAGCTCCAAGATAGCCGAAGAGGCTTCCAAGAGGGCCCTGGGCGGCCCACGAGGGCCCCAAGGCGGTGCTTGAGGCGCCCAAGACGGCCCGAGAGGGCCCCAAGACGGCCCCAAGAGAGGCCCAAGAAGGGAAACATGAACCGAGAATCCGAGCTTTCTACCCCGAGAGGCTCTCGGGAAGTCCCAGGAGGCCCCCAATCGGATCCAAGAGGCCCCCAAGAAGCTCCCAAGAGGGCCGACAAGGCTCCAAGAGATCTCCCAAGGTGGCCCCAAGAGGCACAACTCATTGTTTTACGATTGGGCTTTGACGTTTTTTTTTGTTTTCGGCCTTTTGGCATCCCGATGCTCCAAGACGGCCCCAAAGGCTTCCAATACCGCTCCCACATAGAGGAAGAGGCCTCCAAGAGGGCCCCAAGACGGCCCGCGAGGGCCCCAAGACGGTGCTTGAGGCGCCCAAGACGGCCCGAGAGGGCCCCAAGAGCCCCAAGAGAGGCCCAAGAAGGGGAACGCGACCCAACAGCAGAGCGGTCCCCCCACAAGGCCCACAGGAGGCCGCAAGAGGCCCCCAAGTGGTCCGACGAGGACCCCAAAAGCTCCCCGAGGGCCTAAAAGGCCACCAGGAGACGTCCAAGAGGCTTTCAAATAGCCCAAGAGTGCCCCAAATGCATCAAAACTGCTTCCAGGAGGCCCCTGGGAGGCTTCCGGATTGCCTCAATCTGGCCGCAGGTGGCCTCAAGTCGGGCCTCCACGCAGCCAAGACGGCCAATGACGGCTTCAGATTGCAGAACCGATGCCCCCAAGGGACCCTCAGACGCCCCCCCAAGAGGCACCCAAGAGGTGCCTCCAACAGCCAGTTGACGAAGCATGCGGAACACCCCAGAAGCTCCTCAGATGCCGTCGCGCGCCTGTGCTTGATAGGGTTGTCCGAGATCGTCCAGCGCCCCCCCGGCCTGGGCTAGAACCTGAGCGCGCGCGAAGCGCGCGCGATGGTTCTAGTATATATATATATATATATATATTAATCGCTGTGGTTTACTATCTACGAAAACCGAGACACGTGAGCTACCCTACACGAGCAGATGAAACTCTTAATTTCCATTCTTTGTTTACAAATTAAAGTCAACAGGTTTGGAACTTCGGCGTTCCTCCTCCTCTTCCTCCTCCTCCTCCTCCTCCTCTCTCTCCCTCCTTCTGTCTGTTTTTGTTGTTTTTGTTTTTCTTTTTTTCTATCTCCAACTATCTGTATCTTTCTGTCTCTGTCTCTCTCGCCGCCGTCGATCCTCGGACCTCGATCCTCGACTCTGGGATCTCGATCCTCGCCCTCCCAGGAGTCGAAAAAGACCCCTCCAACGACCCGCGAAACGCCCTCTCCAGGCCCAGGGAGAGGGGGTAGGGGGAGGGGTAAACCCCTCCCCGAAGGGGAAGAAGGGGGGTTGAGAACAGAGAGAGCTCCCTAAACCACTCACGCCCAAAGGGCTGGTGGGATTTTTGGGGAGGCCCCAGGCGCACGTGACTTGCTCGGAGAGTACGGCCCAAGTCCCAAAACGGTCCGCCGACCCCGAGACACCCTTGACTCACCGGACGGTGTTTTGTCGTACGGCAGGTCATCTCTGGGGCGGCAAAGAGGGGGGTGATGACAAGGGGGGGTGGAGGTGGATATCATGGCGGGGGCCATGATATCTCCCCAGATTTCATGGCGCCCCTTCTTATTTCAATACGTCCCTGGCTCCCCCTTGGGCCGCGCACATGCCTCGGCCCATGTTTGCCCCCCCCCCCCCCCCTCTTGGACACCCCCATTTTGGACGCCTCCGAAACCACACGCAGGATGAGTAAGCAGTGTTCGAGTGGGGTGTCGACTACAGACTTGATTTACCGCAACATGTTTTCTTCGTCGGATCCACAGGACATACGACGGATACTGTTAGAGTAGACGTGTTGGTCGAATCAGCCGCAGGCCTGTTAAAGACGTCCTGACCGACCAGCTTGGTGCTTCCAGGAGCTTCACGGTCGAGACAGACCTCGTTTTGGGCCTGTTGTGCAGGCTGCGATCGGATGGAAGCGGCAGCGAATGAACTAGTTGCTTCGGCAGGACTCGATCCTCGGAGGAGGGACTCGCGCTTCATGACCCGCAGTCCCCCTCCCGAGGGCTTCGATATTTTGTCTCGCTAAGGCATTCGGCCCCTCTTCCAGGGAGTGCGTGCCCTTCTCCCCTCGGGATGCTCCCGAACCCGCCGAGATCTAAGAGAACATTTCAGAATGCATTCGAGAACCTTCGACCTCCTTGTCCCCCCTCCTCCTCGCTCTCCTCCTCCCTTCTCGCTCTCCTCGCTCTCCTCGCTCTCCTCGCTCTCCTCCTCCTCCTCCTCCTCTCTCTCCCCCCTCCTTCTCCCTCCTCCTCCTGCTTCTTCCCCCTCCCCCACCACCCTGGCCGCAGGACCCCTGGGGGCTGGAGCGCCGCGGCGACAAGATCGCGGAGCTCGCCCCGAACGTGAACACCACGGAGGCACCGCCTTCGAGCCGCGCCGGCTGCGCCCCGCACGCCGTGGAAACCGACGCTTCGCTTCGTCGTCGTCTTCTTCTTCGTCGTAGTCTTCGTCGTCGTCGTCGTCGTCGTCGTCGTCCTCGTCGACGTCGTCGTCGTCGTTGTTTTCGTCGTTGTCGTCGTCGTCGTCGCTTTTTCGTCGCCTCTTGGTCGTCGTCGTCGTCAACGTCGTCGTCTCCCCTCTCTCCCTCCTCCACCTCCACCTCCACCTCCACCTCCACCTCCACCTCCACCTCCACCTCCACAGCCTCCACCTCCACCACCTCCACCTCCACAACCTCCACCTCCACCACCTCCACCTCCACCTTCACCTCCATCCATCAATTCATCCTTCCATCCATCTGTCGTCGTTGTAATCTCCCCTTCCCTTCTCCACCTCCACCTCCACCTCCACCTCCAACCATCCATTCATCCATCAATCCGTCGTCGTCGTCCCCGTCGTCGTCGTCGCTGTCGTCGTCGCCGTCTCCCCTCCCTCCTCCACCTCCACCTCCTCCATCAATCCATCGTTGCCGTCGCCGTCGCCGTCGCCGTCGCCGTCGTCGTCGCTGTCTCCGTCGACGTCGCCGACGCCGTCGCTGCGCCGCCGCCGCGGTCGTTGCCGCCGTCGCCGTCGCCGTCGCCGTCGCCGTCGTCGTCGTGGTCAACGTCGCTGTCGCCGTCGTCGTCGTCGTCGTCGCCGCCGTTGTCGCCGCCGTCGTCGTCGTCGTCGTCGTCGTCGTCGTCGTCGTCGCTTCGTCGTCGTCTCTTGGTCGTCGTTGCCGTCGTCGCCTCCCCTCCCTCCCTCCTCCACCTCCACCTCCACCTCCACCTCCACCTCCACCTCCACCTCCACCTCCACCTCCACCTCCACCTCCACCTCCACCTCCACCACCTCCACCTCCACCTCCACCTCCACCTCTACCACCTCCATTTATGCATTTATCCATCCATCCATTCATCCATCCATCCATCCATCTGTCGTCGTTGTCGTCGACGTCGTCGTCGTCGTAGTCTCCTCTTCCCTCCTCCACCTCCACCTCTATCCACTCATTGATCAATTCATCGTCGTCGTCGTCGGCGTCGCCCCACCAGACACATCAGGGTTATGTTTACCCTTAAGGGCATCAGCGCTACATTACAATCCTTCTCCTCTTCCTCCGTCCTCCATCGACCTCCTCCTTTCCCGCGCGCTCTCCCGCGCGCGCAGCAGAAGGGGTAGGAGAAGGAGGGAGTATGAGGAGGAGGATAAGGAGGGGGAGGAGGAGGAGGAGGAGGAGGAGGAGGAGGACGAGGAGGAGGACCAGTGTAAACCCAAGAGTCATCAACGATGTTGGAGCAAACCATCCCTCCAAGCTCCCTCTTCATAGACCCCTACAACGGTTCATTTCCATTGAGCGCCTCGTTGGAAGACAACCGTTTGAAGACCCCGAGGCATGCCAACACATTGTTCTAAGGACTCCAACGCCACGGGTCAACCTGACTGTTGCGTTTTGACGATCTTGAATTGTGCCAGAACGCCATTCTTTGGACTCCAACACCGCGAATGAACGTAACTGCTGCGCCCGCATAATCCTGAATCCTTGCAAAAACACAATCAGGGTCATGGTGAGGAAATCTCAGGCGAAACGCCCGGCCCGCCCTAACACTGGCCTCGGGGAGCGACAGGGAGAAGACATTTACAAGGACAAGGAATGGAGGAGGAGGAGGTGGAGGAGAAGGAGGAGGCGGAGGAGGAGGAGGCGGAGGAGAAGGAGGATGAGGAAGAGGTGGAGAGAGGATGATGATGATGATGATGATGATGATGATGATGATGATGATGATGATGATGATGGTGATGATGATGATGATGATCATTGATGATGATTGATGATGATGATGAGGATGCTGATGATGATATGATGATGACAATGATGATGCTGTTGTTGTTGGTGTTGATGCTGCTGCTGATGATTACGATGATGCTGCTGCTGATGGATGATGATGCTGCTGCTGATGATGGTGCTGCTGCTGCTGCTGATGATGATGATGATGATGATGCTGATGCTGATGATTATGAGGGAGATGATGATGCTGCTGCTGTCGATGATGATGCTGATGATGATGCTGATGCTGATGATGATGATGATGATGCTGATGATGATGATGATGATGATGATGATGATGATGATGATAAGGATGATGATATGATGATGATGATGATGATGATTGATGATGCTGATGATAGATGATACGGACCGACCGACGACCGACGATGATGATGATGATGATGATGATGATGAGGATGATGATGATGAGGATGATGATGATGATGATGATGATTGATGAGATGATGTTGGATGTGATGGAATGATGACGATGATGATGATGATGAGAGATGATGATGATGATGATGGATGATGATGATGATGATGAGGATGATGATGCTGATGCTGATGATGATGATATGGTGAAGGAGATGGAGGAGGAGGAGGAGCAGGAGGAGGAGGAGAACGCGGAAGAGGGCAGGGACCTCAGATCGCCTCGTGAAGACCTCTTGGGACTCTTGTTGAGCGATCTTGGGGGCTCTTTTTTGGGGGGTCCTAGGGTCCTCTTGGGGCTCATTTGGGACCCTCGCCAGGGCCGACCTAAAACTGGCCTCGGGGTGCGACAGGGCGAATATATTTACAAGGGCATGGAATGGAGGAGGAGGAGGAGGAGGAAGGAGGAGGAGGAGGAGGAGGAGGAGGAGGAGGAGGAGGAGGGAGGAGGAGGGAGGAGGCGGAGGAGGAGGCAGGGGAGGGAGGAGGCGGAGGAGGAGGAGGAGGGAGGAGGAGGAGGGGAGAGGAGGAGGAGGAGGAGGAGGAGGAGGAGGAGGAGGAGGAGGAGGAGGAGGAGGGGAGGAGGAAGGAGGAGGAGGAGGGAGGAGGAGGAGGAGGAGGAGGAGGAGGAGGAGGAGGAGGAGGAGAGGAGGCGGAGGAGGAGGACGGGAGGAGGAGGAGGAGGATGGAGGAGGAGGAGGAGGAGGCGGAGGAGGAGGAGGAGGAGGAGGAGGAAGGAGGAGGAGGAGGAGGAGGAGGAGGAGCGAGGAGTGAGGAGGAGGAGGAGGAGGAGGTAGGAAGGATGAGGAGGAGGTAGGAGGAGGAGGAAGGAGGAGGCGGAGGAGGTAAGGAGGAGGAGGAGGAGGAGGAGGAGGAGGAGGAGGAGGAGGAGAGGAGGGAGGAGGAAGGAGGGAGAAGGAGGAGGAGGAGGAGGAGGAGGAGAGGAGGAGGAAGGAGGAGGAGGAGTGAGGAGGAGGGGAGGGGAAGGGGGGGGGGAGGAGGAGGAGGAGAGGAGGAGGAGGAGGAGGAGGAGCTGGAGGAGGGGTAGGACCGTTCAAGGAAACACTTTGCAACAAACGATTAGGAGCCACTTCGCATGACCCCCTTCCACCCCCCCTGTCCTAATACTGAACTATCAAGCGTTCCCGGAGAAGCGGGGCCAGCAAAATCTTGAACCTGACATCTCGAGCGCAATGCCTGTCAATAGTAAGGCCAGGAGGTGGAGGGGGGATCTTGGCTCTTTATAGTTCGGGCGTCGTTGTTGCACAGTTTTTCCCTTCAACTGGCGTTGGAGGAGGAGGAGGAGGAGGAGGAGGAGGAGGAGGAGGTTCTTCCAGTTTCTTTGCGCTCTCTCTGCTCTTTCTTGGCCCTGCTGGAGCCAGGCCGAACCGAATGCCCCCCACTTCTTCCCTGCTCTGCCGGCGACGATGCCTTTTGTGCAGACCACCAATCCCTTCCACCCCCGCGTGAGCGGGGGTCGACCGTGCAGACCGTGAGCGGAGGTCGACTGATCGGGTGCGGCGCGCACTCGTCGTTCGCAAGCTCGTCGACACGCGAGCGGGCAGAAGTGTCGCTCTCGCCCCGACGCCGCGCCGATCTCGCGTGCAGGCGGAGCTCTCGCCGCGGCGCGGCGCAGAGCCTGCGCTCGCCAGGTCGTTCGGGCGGCCGCGCGCGAGCGGGCGATCTGTCGCCCTCGCCCTCGCCCCGTGGAGATCTGGACTGGAAGTGGCATTCTCGCGCGGGCGCGTGGCACGAGGCGCTCTCCGAACCTCAGCGGGTCCGCGCGAGAGGGCGGGCGCGGCGGTGTCCTCCCCAGAGCGCCGCGCAGCCTGTGTGTCAAAGCGGCAGTGCTGTTTCGGCGCGGCGTGTTCCTCGTCTTCCGCGCTGATCGGAAATTCGTTGCGCCTCGCGCGTCGCGCTGGTCCTCCGCGCTTTCCGAGCCGCAGCGTAGTTCGCTCCTGTGCGCTTGGTGCGTCATTTAGGTCGTTGCAGTGTCGCTTCGTTCAGACGGCGCGCGGCTGTACCGCTTGCGCCCGCGACAAAAATATCCCCACCAGCCCACTCGAAACCTTGCCCACGAGAGTTTACGGGAAAAGGGATGAAGGGAAACATGTCGTGAAACAAAGTGGGCAACCAAGGTGAACAGAGAGGTCTTTGGGAGCAAAGGTTGGTCTTAGAGTGCCTCTCCGGGCCAACCCATGGGGCCCGCGTGGGGGCGAGGGAAGGAAATGGAGGAGGAGAAGAACGACGACGACGACCACGACGACGAGGGAGAGGAGGACAAGCGAAAGGAGGACAATGAAGGCAGGGATGATGACGAGGAGGAGGAGGAGGAGGAGGAGGAGGAGGACGAGGAGGAGGACCAGCGTAAACCCAAGAGCCATCATTGATGTTGGAATAAACCCTCCCTCCAAGCTCCCTCTTCACAGGCCCCTGCAACGGTTCATTTCCATTGAGGAATTTGCTTCGTTGGAAGACAACTGTTCGAAGGCCCTGCAGCATGTCAAAATATTGTTCTCGGGATTCAAACGCCTCGGATCAACCTGACTGTTGCGATTTGGCGATCCTGAACCGTGCCAGAAAACCATTGGGATTCCAACACCGCGAATGAAC